TCGTTGGGGCATGGTTTTGATGTCTGTCCATTAAATACCTTACATCAGTTTAACAAATGTATTATACATGTTCAATAAAAACCTCATATTTGCCCAACTTCAGTTGGTTGCCCTGGCCTGCCAGTGACCTGTGATTGGGGGCTGTGAGGCAGGACAACATGCCGCAAGCGGCAGCCGGGCAATGTCAACCGTTGCAGGGTACTTGTTGGGTATGACAAAGTTTATAGAATTCAAATCAAAGACAGAAGGAAGATTTGACAAAGCAAGGTGATATTGAGAGAAGCGATCTAAGACTTCATTGCATGGGCAGTGGAATCAGACACAGACCTACCAGATGCCCCAGACCGGACAATCAGCTCTGTAACTATTAAAAAGTATCTAGACGGCATAAAAGCATGGCACATCATTACCACTTATGCAAACCACAAGTAGACGCAGACATCATAGGAACACCCCTAAATGCAACTCAAAAAAAGGAAGAGGGCCAGGGATTAGTAACGGCAAAACAGCCCATCATGATTAGGAAGCCATTTGACTTACTACAAAATACACACGGAGGTTTGGAAACAGAAGAACTAATTGGTATAGGCATGATATACCAAAACCATACTAAGGTTCTTAATCTGCTTTGGCCATCCTATCAGTTTATTCTAATCCTAAATCATCATGATTTCAAAAAGTTTTATCAGACAGCACTTCTTCCACTTTTAGCTGTTCACAATTTTTTTTTTGGATCAGTTCAAATCAAAGCCGGATCAGAAGTTTTTGATTGATTTAAGTTGTCTTGATTCCCATTCTGATTTTAGTTTCAAAATGAAAGCTTGACTATCTAACCACAGGTATGTGTTAGTCATTTTTCAATCAAAATTGTTGAAAATAAAAACAAATGTTCTGAAGATATAGTTGGAAAAGTAGGAATTATGATGGATAACAATGATTGATATCATTCTTGACAAACAACACCTGGGAAATCCATCAATAACTGTAGCGCTATATATGCACAGACATAAGACTGAGGATATCAAATCTGCTCTCAAATGTTCAAAATGTTACGTTTTGAGTGAGAACATTGGATTTGGGCATTTGCGGTATCCGTCTCTAGATAAATTTCCAGAGAACGATATCAAGTTTTTTGACCTTAACCTTGGGGTAAGTATGGTCATGATTTGGTCCAAAAAACAATTGTTTAAGTCTCACCTAAGATCCCTTTCCTCACACTTTCTGGGCATATTGCAAAGAGAATTTCATTGGAGGGTCTCTTAATTCTCTTAACCAAAACTGACACAATTCAACTCATTTGGAATGGAGGTAAAGCTTGCTTCAGCCTGTAAATGCTTTTCAGTCAAGCAAAGAATTCCATCATTCATTTAAAGAGTTCTTGACAGGGATTAACTCCAGAACCACAGAGGTATCTTGGAGGGACGTTGTTGCTAGAATAACCAGTAGTATGCATGAACACTAAGGGCACAGGTTCCGGCATATGACTACAGCTATTCTGCTAGTCATGTCAAGAACAACAAACTGACCTGTGAGCTCAAAATAGGATGAGATAATGCTGTAGAACTCTTACGCTGTGTGGCGTAGGCTGAGCCAGAGAGGGGAAGAATCACCACGCAGAAAGAATAACAATTTGGATGAAACTGAGATTGTGTAGACG